TATTCTATGTGACTCATGTATTAACTCATTGCTCCTCATGACTTCCTTTTAAAGAAGGAATTTTCTTATCCTTTCTATAGATGAGGAAACTGTGGCAGAGTTTATGCAACAACCCCAAGATAGCAATGCTAGTAAACAGTGGAATTGTCATTAGGTGAAGAACTGTGTCTATCATAGAATCTCTTTACCAGGTACTGGTTTTCACATGCTTCCCATCGCTCTTCCAACAGCTGCCATGCAGGAGGTGTCCACCATTACATCAACAAACCAAATGCCAGAACTTCAATCAATTGATATCCAATGGCTGATAGATGCTGTTGAGCTAGTGAATGAAATGTTCTTTGGCAAAATTCCAGTGCAGTAGGGTAGAGATACTGATCTTCATTAAAGCATAAGATGTTGGCAGTTAGACCAGTGTTGGGCTGACCTATAAGGGGAACTGATGAAGGAAAGTGGTTCTGGTTATTTGGGTCTGTATAATTCAGGAGGACTAGGTTATTTGGTCACCTGAATTTCAATTCAGCTTTACCTGGTTGATGCCCTTTACCTTTATTCACTCCTTTTTTCTTAGTCTCTAAAAGGTCATTTCTTTCTGTGTACCTGAAGAAACATTCTAAGGGTATAATGGGGATGGCACTGTGTTGGGCAACATGAAGTTGGCTGACTCCTATGGTCCTCCCACACCCCATTAGTTATGAGTTTAAAGCAGTCCTGGAGCCTTAATGTCCCTTTGCCTCCTTCCACCTCTCTCTCTCTCTCTCTCTCTCTCTCTGTCTCTCTCTGTCTCTCTCTCTCATACTCATACAATGTTAATCGATATGGACACAATGATATCTTACCATGTCCCTCAAGATTCTTCTAGCTTGCTCTGTCCTGCCAAGGATTCTTTTCTTCTTTGTTTCCAGGATCTGCTAAATCTGGTTAGGATGCAATCCTCACCCTGATTGTCATTCAATTACATGCTAGACTAGGTCAGCAGAGGTTGTATAACAACCTCTTCCTATAGGCTTCCAACTCCAACACAGTTCCCTTTAGGAGAAGACACTAATTATGGCTACAAAACTGTCAGATCCCCACTCAGTGCTTAAAGTGGTCTCTAAGGAGAGACAACAATTGTCTATGTGGATTCCTAACAAGTCCCTTGGTTCCTATTATAGAGTTGAAAGGAAGGCTTCTCTCCCAGTCCTAGCTCCCAAAGTATTAACACATACCCACTAAATGTGGTCTCAAACTTAATCCAGTGGCAACCAGGCCCTTGAGGAATGAGCTCTTTCTGGGTTTAATTTCTCCAATCAGAAAGTACCAATAATTATGCCATGATCAGTCACCCTTACCACTGTGGCTATGTTACCCTGATGGGACTGATGCTTTATCTGGAGGGGGACAACTGAGCACCTGTGATGACCTTAACAAGATGTATTTGTGTCTTCTGTTTGCCCTCTCTGGGAGTTAGATAATTCCTTGTCTCCTCTTTATCCTTTCCTCAATGTAAATGAAGCCATGGAGAAACAAAAGCCTGGAATGTTGTCCACAGGAGAATTTGGTGACTTCCTGTTGTTGGCATGGCCTCTGCCACTTCTCTGCATTTTTGACACTATAGAATTGTTTTAGTTCCAAATTCAGAAGCTTTTTGCTAAACTGAATTTCAACATGCCTCATTTTACAGAAGGAAATGAACAGATCACTCTCCTCAACAATTATAAGAATTAACAAAATGTGTTACTATTCTTCAGTGAATCAAAATTATTCTAAACACAACAATAAGTAAGACACTATGTCTGTCTGTAAGAACAAAGGAACTTATTTTATTACTCAGTAAGCAGTCTATCCCGTCTCAATGTGTGGTATTACCACAGGTCCAACCACAAGCAGTCAACTGATTATACAGTAGAACTTCCAAATCTGCAAGCCAAAATAAACCTTCGCCTTTAAGAGAAATAGGCAATGTAATACATTGGATGTTTCAAAGCAAAAGCATAACTCTCACTGTGAAGAGGATAAGAGAGATTTCATTCTGGAGCCAAATATGTGTGACCATGGCCCAGGAACAAATGTTTAGGTTACTGCAAATTCCATGTTTCATAAAGTTTCTATAGCAACAGAGAAATAAGTCATAGATTGTGACAGTTTTCAAATACATTGTGAGTACATTTTTGGGGCTAAGCTGGGCAGGGGGGATTCTACTATAGGTCTCAGATGCTATCTGATGACATTCTTAGCCTTTTTATTGGTGGGAATGAACTGTTTCTTTGTTAAACTAATACATTCTATTAGTCAGAAAATGTTAAGGTCAGAAACAGAGGTGGGCAAGGAATGGCTATTTATTGACTAAATAGGGTTCCAAGATATTCTTAAGTAGGCTCTGAATCTGCAACATTTGAACCTCTCTGCAGTCACTGAAGTGCTAATTAGTTGGTCAGACTTGCAGAAAGTTCAATCCAAGATGTAAGATTTTGCTGGAAACTTCTGTTCAGAGATATTTGTCCCTCTTCTAATGGAACGAGTACTAAAATTTTAAGGAAAGTGTAATATGCTAGCAGACACAGTGTAGGGCAATATTCCCTAGAGATTTGCTAGATCAAGTAAGGCTTCCCAAGAGTTGGATTCCAATATTCACTTTAGATGAAAGTGCGGAGGGTAAGGAATGATGGAGGAAACTCTTCAGGATGGGCTATGGCCCTGAGCAAATGAGCACGGACAGGGAATGTGGAGATTACTTCTGAGACAATGATAGTGATGGCATCCCATGGGATTTGAAAGTGCTTGGGATTTGAAAGTTTCAGATATTTTTAGATTTTCAATATTTGTACATATTTAATGAGATATTTTGGAGATGGGAACCAAATCTAACCATGAAATACAAGCATGTTTCATATATAGCTTGCACACAAATCCCAACCTATGCACACGTTATAACCTATCCCATAAGGTCAGTATGGAATTTGCTACTTATGGCTCACATGAGTACTCAAAAGATTTCAGAATTTTTCACTGAAACTATGAGAGGAAACAGTAAAAAAGACCATTTAAGAAACAGACAGAGGCCAGGACTTTTTCGTAAGGGTTCTAGCAGTTCAAGAAATGTCAACAATTAAGGAGACTTCATGAAACTGAAAGGTTTCTGTGCAGCAAAGAAAACAGTTAATTGAATAAAGAGACAGATCACAGAATAAGAGAAATTCTTTGCTTTGGTATACATATAACAGAGGATTAATACCTATAATATAGAAAGAACCAAAACAACTAAATAGCGAGAAGTCAAGTGACCCAGTTAATAAATGGGCTAATGAAAT